GATTTTGAAAGTTTTGGGGGTTTAGTGTCACACGCCCAATCTTACTGGTGTTTTAGTGAAAGCTTACCCATATATTAATTTTTATAGAGAGGATAAGTATTAATAGTCTGTAGAAGAATATGTTAGTGGTTACTAGGTTAAAATGCATATTAGTTGTCAAATTAAAATAAGAACTAAAATCCTGAATTGACAGAAGAATCAAGTAAAATACATAATCTAGATCTGCTATTCTGTGAATGGAGAAACAAATTGCACTACATAAAAGGATAGAGGTAGAAAAAGAAATGGTTTAGATCTCCATTTATATATAAACATAAATTTATGATTTACTATGACCTTAAAAAAAAGCCACATGTCCATCCCTAATTTGAATTTGGATTTTTAAATGAAAACTATTCACGCACTTATTAAGTATGGTAGTGTTTTATTTTTAAGTGCGTGAATAGTTTTAATTTAAAAAATCATCGATGCTCTTATTTTGTATTTTTGTTATAAAAAAAATCTGGCTCAAGTTATTTTCTTTTAAAGAAGGAGTAACAATGCTAAGAAAAAAAATAGTACAATCTAATTTTTTTAGTGAAAGTAATTTCTATTTTTCAAAGCAAAACCACAATTAAAAAGAAATTTTTAGAGTAAAAAAAAGATATACAAATAAAAAAATAAAAATCAACCCATATAATACAGGTATTTAATCTAAGACCCTTATAAATGATCTCAACCATGATTATTAACTAATTAGCGGATAATTATAATTCATTCTAGATTTAGTTATGCTAATTGGTAATTGTGATACATTAGTCGCCCCTCCGTTAAATTTTTGGCGGCGGAGTGGAAGGGAATCCACTATACGTAAGCGGGTAAAGGCTTAAAGCCCACCACTTTAACCCGGCCCATTATCCGACTCATCATCTCCCTCATACAATAATACAGGTATTTTCAATTTCCTCCCCCAAAATTTATCCCCAATTCGCCAATTCCTCGATCATCTTTCATGTCAATGGCAAGATCAAGAACTCCCCTTATCCGCTCCTTATCCTCTTCTACCATGAAAGGTACTATCCCTAGCCCTAACCCCAAAACCCCACATCATCACAAATTCTCATCCGATACAGCTCCACATTTGAATCAAGGACCGAGCTTTAGATCGAAAATCGACGAAATTTGCAGGATTTTAGAAACCACGCCCTCGGGCGGGGACTTAGAAAACGCCCTTTCCTCGATCCACGAAAAAAGTTCACCTGAAATCACTGTAGGAGTTTTGAAAAGGGCTAAAGATTTGAACTTGGCGATGAATTACTTCAGATGGGTCGAAAGGTTCAGTAACGAGCCGCATTGTTTGGTATCTTATAATACGATGCTCTCGGTGATTGCGAGGACCAAAAAGTTTGATGCTTTGGAGAATGTTTTGCATGAAATGGGTCTACTTGGTTTCGGGCCGTCGAATAATGCTTGTTTAGAGATGGTTGAGAGTTTAGTGAAGATTGGGAAGCTGAAAGAAGCTGTTAATGTGATTGAATTGATGAGGAAATTTAAGTTTCGTCCAGCTTTTTCAGCTTATACTACTCTCATTGGCGCATTTGCTGATACCCGTGAACCCGATTTAGCCCTCAAATTATTTCAGCAGATGCAGGAATTAGGGTATGAAGTTAATTTGCAGTTATTTACGACTTTGGTTAGAGTGTTTGCGAAAGAGGGTAAGCTAGATTCAGCACTTTCGTTATTGGAAGAGTTGAAAAGTAATTCATTTGTTGCTGACATAGTTCTCTACAATGTTTGTATCGATTGTTTTGGAAAAGTGGGGAAGGTTGATATGGCTTGGAAATTCTTTCATGAGATGAAAGCTCAGGGAATCAGCCCGGATGATGTTACTTATACTAGCATGATTGGGGTTCTTTGTAAAGCTAATAGGTTGAGTGCGGCTGAGGAATTATTCGAGCAAATGGAGCAAGGGAGAAGAGTCCCTTGTGCTTATTCTTATAATACAATGATTATGGGCTATGGCGCAGCTGGAAGGTTTGATCAAGCTTACAGATTACTGGAGAAGTTTAGAGAAAAGGGATGCATTCCGAGTGTTGTTGCATATAATTCTCTGCTCACTTGCCTTGGGAAAAAGAGGAGAGTGGATGAAGCTCTTAAGGTTTTCGAGGAGATGAAAAAGGATGCTGAACCTAATGCATCAACCTTTAACATTATTATCGATATGCTTTGTATGGCAGGGAGATTAGAAGATGCTTACAGGATTAGAGATATTATGCAAGATGCTGGCTTATTTCCTAACCAGATCACTGTTAACATAATGGTTGATAGGTTGTGTAAAGCTCAGAAGCTTGATGCAGCGCGAAAAGTATTTGAGGGCATGAGTGAAAAAGGCTGTGCTCCAGATCCTGTTGCATATTGTTCTCTTATTGATGGATTGGGGAGAAAAGGTAGAGTTGATGAGGCTTATAGTTTGTATGAGGAAATGTTGGATGCTGGCCATAATCCTAATGTTGTTGTCTATACATCTTTGATCAGAAATTTTTTCAAGATTGGAAGGAAGGAAGATGGGCATAAGATCTTCAAAGAAATGAAGCGCAGAGGTTGTCGTCCTGATCTAACTCTTCTGAACACTTATATGGATTGTGTGTTTAAGGCTGGTGAAACAGAAAAGGGAAGGAGTTTATTTGAGGATATAAAATCTCAAGGTTTCTCCCCTGATGTACGAAGTTATTCTATACTTATTCATGGCCTCACAAAAGCTGGTAAGGCTCGAGAGACGTATAAATTGTTTTATGCTATGAAGGAACAAGGCCTCACACTTGATACTATGGCCTATAACACTGTCATTGATGGATTTTGCAAGTCGGGTCAAGTGGACAAAGCTTACCAGCTTCTCGAGGAGATGAAATCAAAAGGGTTTCCTCCCTCTGTGGTTACTTATGGATCTGTTGTTGATGGGCTTGCAAAAATTGACAGGCTTGATGAGGCTTATATGCTTTTTGAAGAAGCGAAATCAAAGGGAATTGAAGTAAATGTAGTTTTGTATAGTAGTCTTATTGATGGGTTCGGTAAAGTTGGGAGAATCGATGAAGCTTATTTAATAATGGAAGAAATGATGCAGAAGGGTCTGACACCAAATGTGTACACATGGAATTGCCTAATTGATGCTTTAGTGAAGGGAGATGAAATTGATGAAGCTCTTGCTTGCTTTCAGTCGATGAAAGATATGAAATGTGCTCCAAACACCTTTACTTATAGCATTCTCATTAATGGCCTTTGTCGAGCTGAGAAATACAACAAAGCTTTCGTCTTTTGGCAAGAAATGCAGAAACTAGGTTTAGTTCCAAGTGTGGTCACATACACTACTATGATCTCAGGCCTTGCAAAGATTGGGAATATTACTGAAGCTAATAGCCTCTTTGAGAAGTTTAAGGCTAATGGAGGTGTACCTGACTCAGTTAGTTTCAATGCCCTTATAGAAGGAATGAGTAGTGCAAATAGGGCAATGGATGCTTATAGGGTTTTCGAGGAGACTCGACTTAGGGGATGTAAGATTAATGCAAAGACTTGTATTGTTCTTTTGGATGCATTGCATAAGGCAGAGTGCCTTGAGCAAGCAGCAATTGTTGGAGCTGTGTTGAGGGAGATGGCAAAGTCACAGCATGCTGCTAGATCCTTGTAAACTTTGGAGAATGAAGGGATTGAACTCTACTCCCTTTTTTATGCTGGAGAGAGGATTGGCTCGTCTTTTGAGGAATGTACAATAATATATTATTCAATCAACTTTAGATTTGAATCCAGATTTAGCTGCTGCAGCTGATTCCAACAACTCAAAGTTTCATCATTAAGGTGAGTTTTTTTCTTTACACTTGCTTACTGAGCTTAATACAATTTGATTGTGATATCATCTTGGTATGATAATCTGGTGTAGTGCTTATCACTAGGGTGCGTTGCTTTATGTTGGACATCACAATTTGATTGTGGTGTCATCTTAATATATTTTGATTTCTCATTCTTTGTCTATATAAGTGCATGCATGGCTGTTATACTTCTATTTGAGTTACTGTCCTCTTGTTTCTATAACTGCATCCATGTCCATTGCTCATCAGAAATGCCTATGTGTGCAGATGTATTAGTGGGCATTTTATAAACAAGTACAGTCGGTCTGCTAGATTTAAAGCATCAAAGATTGTATGGGAAAATCTAGCTTGTGCATCGCCTCGGTGCCAATGTTGTGAAAGAAGAGATTTTTGGAAAGGATGATATAAAGGCTGGTTGAAGATCGATAATTATTTGATAGGTCAGCAATTTTTCAATCTTATTATTTTGTTAGCAATGTAAACTTGCCTCATATGTGCATTTATGTGTGTAATATGACTCAACACTAGGAGACGATGAACACAGAAAAGATGTCTAGGCACCTGAGAGTTGAGACCATGAGTTTAAGATTCAAATTTTATAATAGCAATTCTTTTATGGTTTTCTGTTTTTATTTTGTGGTTTATGTACCCCGTAGATCATGTTTTTTCGCAAAACAGCCCTACAAATGACAGTATTTGCGAAACTAGCCCAAAACAATCAACTCTTGAAAGAAAAAAAAATCAACTTTGATAGGCTAATTTGTAACTGCAATATAAAAATATTGACAAAATAGTCAAATGTTTACTCACCATACCCAACAAAGTTCATTTTGTTGATTTAGGTTCTTTCTTTCCAAAGTTGATGATGTGGCTGTAGTTTCTTAAATGCTGATATTTTTTGGGGTAATTTTGCAGATATGCATGGTTTAAGGGGGTATGTATACAAATAAAAGGAAAAAAAAACTTCTCTTTTATCCCGGAATTTGTACTTTATGCAGACAATGTGTACCTTATTCAATACGTAGGTTTACACTCTATTACTGATGTCATTTGAGACGTTTACATCATGCTCCATGGAAATAAGTTTTTTATTTGAAATCATTCTTACTAAGACCAGATTGCCTATTGGTTTTGGTGATAGTCTTTCGATAGCATTAACAATTGAACATGAGCTAATTTTACGTCCTTTCTTTGACTGGTTATCCTCTTAGACAAACTGACCATATTTAATTATTCTGGACAAACTGTGGAAGAGATATATCCCATAAAACAAATTTTTGAAGGGATGAAGTGGATATTTTTAGACACAATTGCAAGTTATCGTCAACCCAACTAGATAATGACCTTCTAGACCTGAACTTTGGCATGAGAAATATCTACTCTACCTCCCAAAAGTTAAAGTCAGCGCTCTCACTGATCGATAGCAGAAAGTGTAAAAACTTCAAAAATCTTCTGGTTCGAACTTAATGAAGAGTGTTTTATGCGCAGGTGCAAATGATCACCATTTAACTAGAGGTGCTCCTTCATGCCGATTACAGAAGAGGAGGCTATTCAGTTGACCCCAGAGGGATAATTGATTTTCGTAATAACTTGTGTGCTCTCTGCATGCAAATAATGAATAGATGTGTACAGGTACGCATGCTTTATCAAAAGAAATCTACTTGTTTGGAATTTATGTTTGGAACTAGTGAATGATTCTACATTCTGGATGGCCTCAGGTGACTCGGGATGAGATGCTGATGAGAAGATTGCTAGTTCTTCTTCTTTGATATTTTAGGATTATACATCCGAACGCAGACTCGAAGTTCTTTTATACCAAATCATTCGTTCTCAGTATTGTTTGTACTCCAACATGTCCAGTTATTTGCTCTTACTCTACTATGTATTATATTTGTAATTAGTTTCTCCTTTTTTTTTTTTAACTTTTGCACTTGTGTGAGTGAAGTTTATACTATGCATGCGCCTCTGAATGTAACATGTAACGACAGGGAAAGTCTTATACTTTGAGTGTAGTTGGAACTAAATACGATGGTTCGATGTCAGCTTTTTACTAAGATAATTGTTTGATTTTTGTTGTTTTCATATTTCTTACTTATAGGTGTGTAATTGAACTTGAATGTGACATGGAGCAATGGAGAAACCTGAGATTGTTACGATATCATTTTCCCGTTGAATGAAGTTGTTAGAGAAATGTATGTGTGAAACTTTTGGACTTGTCTTTTTGGAATCATCTGTGAAACTAGAATTTTTATGTTGCAAACTTTTGGACTTGATGTTTTTATATTTCTTACTTAATGCTTCCAATGTCATTTCAGAATGGGTAGATCATAAAAAAGTTAACTAAATATTTTCTAAACTTTGAGGCACATTTTGGGCGCACGTCACACACATACAATAAGGCAATCCATACAATTAATGGGTGCGTAAGAGGGCCACTCTGACAAATTTTAATTATTTTAGTTATGAGGCAAACCACCCTATTCCTACAATGGTGGTTCTAATGTAATTTGAGTTCATATTTATTTTGGCAAAAAGAAAAACCATGGGCATTAACACTTAAAAAGTTGTACATTAGGGTATTTAAGTGTTAAGAGTTTGTCATAGATATTCGCCCCTCAATTCCTCCGTACTAGGTAGATAGTTCCTCAATTTTTCGAAAATGGCTACTTAGAGCATCTCCAACCATAAAACTCAAAATGGTGTAGTTTTTACACCAAGTTGGTATAGTTTTTACACCAAATTACTATTCCATCTCCAACCCATTACACCAAATGTTACACCAAAAAGATTATTCCTTTTATTATTCTTATCTTTTAACATTTTTTGAAATTTAAAATATTTAACAAATTATATAATTATATAATTATATAATACATATAATTAATTATAATAATATATTTTATGAATAAAATAAAAATATAAAACTATCTATTTTTTCCATTGTTGAATTTTATTTTAATAATTATTTTATAATCTAATTTTATTATAATAGTTCATATCAAAATAATTAAAAAAAATAAAAGCTACAATGAAATATTTTGATCATGAATAAAAAGAGAAACATTAAAAACCAACAAAATAATAAACTCTATGCCTAAAAAAAAAGGTTAAAAAAAATGTCACCGCGTCAAAGCTACAGTGCTGCGCCAAATCTGGTGCAGTACTGTAGCTCTCCCCCAAAATGGCGCTGGGGATGCCGTTCGGTTGGAGGATGAACAGGGTTATTTTTTGCGTCAATTTGCGGGGAAAGCGTTCGGTTGGAGATGCTCTTATGCGCCTCTGAAATCCTGAAAAGGCCATGCAATTTATTTCCTCAATTATCAAAAAAATCTTTCAGCTTATTTTTTTTGTGAACACGAGGACAATTGGGTTTTCCTGGGGGAAAACGTATATCAAAAGGGGGTTTGAGTAATTGAGGGACCTATTTGCAATACCCTTTACGGTCGTAGGGATGTATAAAGTTAATGTCAAAGATTTGAGGAGCTAAATCTAAAAAGAAAAAAAGAAACCCCTCCATAATACAACTAAGGACAAATTTTCAAAACAGTCGAAAAAAAAACACCCATTTTCAACTTATTTTCAAAAATCGATATGGTTTCACCCTTAGCGCTGAAACCAGGTCGGTTTCTGGAAAAAAAAATTCCGAAATTTTACGTGAGTTGAACTCCCGTGAAATTTAGTAAGCTTGAACTCCCGTGAAGTTTCATAGTTCAAATTTTTTTTTTGAACTATGAAATTTCACGGGAGTTGAATTCTCGTGAAGTTTCGGAATTTTTTTTCAGAAACCGACCTGGTTTCAGCGCTGAGGCTGAAACCAGGTCGATTTCTGAAAATAAGTTGAAAATGAGTCTTTTTTTTGCGATTATTATCGTAAACGGGATTGTTTTGAAAATTCCTCCATACAACTAACCATACTAAACCATTTTAATGGGCCCCAAATCAACATCCCGGTCGAATAGATCACTCTTTGACTGACTAATGGGTCCCACTAATTGTGTCCAAGATCGGTACCGATTTCTTTTTTTTTTTTCACGTATGAAAATCGAGAGAAGCTCTCCTTCGATTTCTTTTTGCAGAGGGAAAGATTTTCCTTTTGGCGCCAAATCCCAGAGCGAAATCCAACTGCGGTCGATCTCGGCGATCTAGGGCTTCACACTCTCAAATCACAGAATCGAATGATTCCTCCCTCAAAGTTTCAGTTTCTGGGGTTTCCAACCGCTGATATTCCCTCGAAAAGTTTCGACTTTTAGGGTTCGGGCGATGGAGGGAGAAATCGGCTCGCCGCCCATCAAGCCCATCAACAAATCAGCGATTCACAGGATTTGTTCGGGGCAAGTGATCTTGGATCTCCAGTCGGCCGTGAAGGAGCTGGTCGAGAACAGCTTGGACGCCGGCGCCAGCAGCGTCGAGGTCAGTCTGAAGGAGCACGGTGAAGAATCTTTCAAGGTTATCGACAATGGATGTGGGATCTCGCCCAGTAACTTCCAGGCATGTGGAAAGTTTGAAGCTTGCGGTTCCCTTTGCTTTAGTTTTTATTTCTTTAGCTGTAATTATGTTTTATGGGGTTAGGGTTTAGGGTTTAAGGTTTAGGACATGGGTTTAGGGTTTAGGATTTAAGGTTTAGGGTTTAAGATTTATGGTTAGGGTTTAATTAGTGGGTTGAATTACAGAGAGGAAAGGATGACCAACTCATACGATAGTGAAACTGACTAATATGGGAGGGAGAGTTGATCCGGCTACTGACGCGACATAATCTTTAAATTGTCACCGGCAAAAAGGGAAGGAAAAAAAATCATTATTATCATACCGACAGTCTTTATAGAGGGCTACTAGTTTAATGGGATGGAATGTTGCCTAGGGATGACTGTGGAGCAGCTGGAGCTTTGCACAATGCCAGGAAAGATCCGCAAGATAATCGATTAAGGAGAATTTCCTGTCTCTCTTTAATCTCCCTGATCTGGTAACCTAGTCAAGACACCTATAAGCAAAGACATTTTAAACAAAACCTTAAAAGGGCACTCTGAGGGCAGCTAGATCCATCTCTTTTAGTCATTTAGCGTAAGCTCATGCAAAAACACTCTAAATTCTACTACATAGAAGATAGGTTTTGGGGCTCTTCACTTTCCAAACTCCTAAAATCCCTCCATGCAGCCACAGTACCTACCTCAAGTTTGTGGTAGAAGTGGAATTGCTAGATATGCTATAGTTTTCCATAAGTTCGACCTTCCTGTTTGTGAATATCACGGTCCAACTATGCTAGAATCTTTTAGGTGTAAATTCTTTCTGATGTTATTATATAATATTGGTAGTTCACTCTTCTTAGCTTGTGCACTTCCTATCTGTTCTTTTTCTCTCTTTCCATCTACGTCATTGTTGTATTGTGCTGCTTTCATTTGATCGTTTAATTGAACATGTTGCAGGCTCTTGCTCGTAAGCATCACACTTCAAAAATAGCAGATTTTTCTGATCTTCATTCATTGAAAACTTTTGGCTTCAGAGGAGAGGCATTGAGCTCCCTATGTGCATTGGGTAACTTAACTATCGAAACAAGGACGAAAAATGAGCCAGTTGGTACACATCTGATCTACGACCACTCAGGTTCAGTGTCTGCTGAAAGAAAAGTTGCTCGCCAAGTGGGCACCACTGTGACAGTTGAGAGATTATTCTCCACCTTGCCAGTGCGAAGTAAAGAGTTTAGCCGCAATATTCGTCGGGAATATGGAAAGCTTATTTCTTTGTTAAATGTGAGACCGTCTTTCTCTACAACATTTAAAATCTTTTCGCCATTTAAAACGTGAACTACGTAATTGCATTTACTTTTACTTTGCTAAATTGATCGGCTGTTTTTTTTTAGTAAATTATTGAACAACTTCAACGTACGAAGATAATACATTTTCTTAGCAGTGACACTGATTTTTATTGTAAAGTTGGTTGGCTGTTATATCGTGCAACTTATGTATGAGTAATTTGCAATTGTTCATTATATATCGTGGAGATAAAATTTCTAGCATATTTTTTATAAATAAATATAGTAGCATATCCTCTGTACTGTACAGTGTGCACTTTAGTATTAAGAGATCTAATGGCGACTTGTTTATTTTTCTTTTAATTTCTTTTCTTTTCTGCTTAGGCATATGCCATCATGGCTAAAGGGGTCCGATTTCTTTGCACCAACACTTCTGGCAAAAACTCAAAATCTGTGGTGTTGAAAACTCAAGGAAGCAGTTCACTTAAAGATAATGTCATCACTGTATTTGGTCTAAACACTTTCAAGTGCTTGGAACCTTTGAGTTTATGCATATCAGAAGGCTGCAAAGTTGAGGGCTATCTCTCTAAGACTGGATATGGTAGTGGTCGTAACTTGGGAGATCGGCAGTATTTTTACGTAAATGGGAGGCCTGTTGATATGCCTAAAGTTAGCAAACTTTTGAATGAATTATATAGAAGTTCAAACTCCAAACAGTATCCCATTGCTATTATGAATTTCATAATACCAACTACATCATATGATGTTAATGTTACCCCTGATAAGAGGAAGATCTTCTTTTCAGATGAAGGCACCCTTGTAGTTACCCTAAGAGCAGCTATAGAAAAAATCTACTCTCCGGATCAATGCAGCTTTTCTGTTAATGGGATTAATGAGTCCAACAAAGAAGCAGATGACTCTGAGACAGATACTTGTACTGAAGATGAGGATTCTCCACGAGCATCTAAATCACTGTCTCCATGGGATCACGGGCGTCAAGCACGTAGTCAGGAGTTAATTCTGGATGATGATTTAATGAAGATGCCACAACTGCGCAGACAGAATTTGTGCGATGAAAAGGAAGTTGTTTGTGACGATGAACTCTCCCCACCGAAGGGTTTGAGTGTTAATTCCGTGGATAAAGCATGCAAAAGTCTCTCTGCCTACCAAAGTAATCAGTCAGTAAGCCTTTTTAAGTCAAAAGCAACAATGGATCTGAAACGTCCTACCGTCGCTGTGTCACTAAAGAAAGATAACCCTTTCAATTCAAAATTTGTCCAATCCCCTCTTACAAAGTTTGTAACTGTAAATAAAAGGAAGCATGAAAACAGTTGCGACATTTTGTCCGAAATGCCCATACTAAGAAATGAAAAACCACCTTGTCAAGTGATTAAAACCGGTTTGAAACTGCACGCATCGATTTCCAGATGTGAATCATGTAAACTTTCAGGGGATGATAATAATCTGTCCGGTATCTCAAGCAGAGAGAGGATGCCTCATTCTGATGAATGTGAGGCTAAAAATAAAGAATCTGATCAGGTATTTTTAATTACTCTAAGTTGCTTTCCTAAGTATTCCGTACAGAATATTCAACCCCACTTAATTTTTTTTATTTCTAAAGGCTGATCGTTTAGGTGGCAGTTCATCTAAAACATTTAGAATTAGATATATAACGGCACTACAATTCTTTTGCTGTCAAATGCCAGCTTATACATCATCTGGACTGATGACCTATGTTGTATATAAATTGCTTACCTATCGATTCATCTGAAATTCTCAATTTAGAACGTCCAAACTATATCAACAAGTTCAATTCTGCATAAATATGAACCTTACAGTTTATTTTAATTTCATGTAAAGGGTTAAATAGTGCATTTATATAAGGCAATAACTGATACACTTTCTGATTGAACTAAAAAACCTTGTGTTTTATTACCAACCATCCTGTGAATAAAATTACCTTGACTAAATGCTTTTGAGAAGTATTGATATGTGAATATGTCGAGGACTAATAAGTAATAATTTAATGACATTTTAGAAATTCTGGAGAATGATGGCTTGCAAATGCATTGTAGCTTATTCTTTTTTATCATGTTGATGTCTTGATGACTTTGCTTATCACAATTTTTTCTAAACTTGTATACTATTCCCAGGAGAATTTAGAAGGACAGGTAGCTCCTTCAACCCTTACAGATGCTACATTAGGAAGTTCGTATGTGAAAGATCAAGAAATTACACATCGGGAATTGTTGAGCCAGTCTCCTATCACCGAATCGTCCAATGTTATTGCGGACACTCTTAAACCATGTGCTAGTGATAAAATGTGTTTTCCTTTTCAATTTAGCATCAGTGATCTTAGAAAACGGAGGCACAATAAACTCTCAAGTTTGATTTCAGATGTTTCTACATATAGTAGGAATATCAGAAGGTACATAAGCTCCTCACCCTCTTCACTTTACTAAAGTGGAGATATTTACTTATCTAGAACGTATACATGTCCAACTCTACTATTTTTTTCATCACTCATCATATGGTTTGACCTGTCTAAGGCGTTATACTGCGGCAACACTTGCAAATTCTCAACCAGAAAATGATGAAAGAAAAGAATCTTCTTTAGCTGCTGCAACAGTTGAGTTGGACAGGTTCTTCCGAAAAGAAGATTTTGGTAGAATGGAGGTAATAGTTTGTATTTAAGTCAAGGTTGTGTTTATTTTAGCATACCTGAGCAAGATGTGAGAAACTTAGTTTTTGTCTTTGTGATATAACACTCTTTGTTTTTTTGTTTTGTTTTTTTTCCAATTATTTATCAAACTACAAAGGGATAAATCTTCAGTGTGCACATGTCATCCATTACATTATTTATTTTTCTCCGATTTATCTCTGCACTCAGGTTGGATTTTTGTCGTGTGACTTGTCTCCTGGCAAGTGATTGAAAATAATTGCAGTCTAAAACATAAGAAATTTGTAATCTCATGTCCACCCTTGTCTATCAAACCTTTTCAGTCATCCTCACTACTCACATTTGCCCTTGTGGATTTGCCAATTGAAACTAAGGGACATGTTTGGTGCCATCTCAAATCTTATTCAAATCGGTTCCTTCTTTCACAACCTTCTAAACAACCACATGTTTCTCTTTTGTTGGGAACTTTCTGTTCCTATGTGGTATATGATAATACAGTCTTAATTTGTTAATATCTCCTTGGGCTCAAATTAAAGATGAACATTAGGAAAATTTCAGTATGGGACCCTAAGAAAGGAATTGATTTTGTACTTTATGGTCCAACTTGAAAGGAAAGAGGAAGTTATGCAGTGTTTTACTTGACCATCATGTTTTTTGACTACTTTTCTTATCTTTTTCCACAAAAAAATAAAAAAATAAAAAAAAATCCAGCATGGTAATTATGAAATATGTATAAGTTGAACATGCATGATCATTAAAAATTACACCTTTTTGTCAATATCTTGACCTTGTAAGGACGGGATAATTTTGCAAATTAGATAGGTAGAAAGAAGGTTTATAATCTGTGAAATCTGGAATCAGCAAATAAAGCTGAAACATATGGAATGTTATGTTAGCACAATTGAGAAGAAACAACTGTATAGTGTTGATTGATGGCTATGGCCCATAGGGCCTAGGAATGACTGTATTTGCTACTTAGAATCAATCATTTTTTATAACAATTCGATGGTTATTTCAAGTAAAACGTGGAATCAGAATGGGACAGTTTTAATAGAGAGGTGCTTATGGAGTTCTATGTGGTCATAGATCCTAGACGCTTACAAGACCAGTAATGGTTTTATTGGTCAAAATATTGGACGATTAAGAAGTGAAGTATTCGAAAAAAGATTTGGTGTAGCAAAAATGAGAATATTGTGATGGATGAATGGCAATATGTTAAGAGATAGGCTAAGACATGAGTGCATCTTTAAGAAGTTAAAGCATAGCTTCCTTTGAGGGTAGGATGACAGCAGAATTAAGAAGCCACTATCATTGTTTTCATATAAGGAACATAGTAAGATGCAAGTTTTGTGTGGAATGGCTTAAGTGCTCCTTTGACGGTAGAATGATGGCAGAAAAAAAAAGCCACTATCATTGTTTTCATATAAGGAACATATTAAGATGCAGGTTTTGCATGGAATGGTTTAGTGCTGAACTGCTGATTAGAACAATCTTTGATGGGTTATTCATCTGGCGATTTTGATGCAAATTCACTTTCCCTCACATGAGAAAGATAATTGACCATGTTATGTTACCTGAATATCTTTTTACTATCGATCCATTGACTCGGTCACTTAAAATCTTGAACTTTTTTTTGTGGTTTTTCAGTTTAGTGTCCCATTATTAGCTTACATCTTGAGCTTTTCCTGTATTGTTACGCAACTACGTCAAAAGCTCTCTTAGCAATATCAGATTACTTTACTCATGGACTCTTGTTTGACATGTCTTCAGGTTGTTGGACAGTTCAATCTTGGTTTTATCATTGCAAAGCTAGACCAAGATTTGTTTATTGTAGACCAGGCAAGATCTAATTTCTTTTGCATTAAGTTATCCAATACTGGCATTACTGTTCCTGATGATTCTCCTGTAGATGCTTAGTTTGCTGATCTAATGGTCCTTGAAGAAGCCTCTTATTGCGTGAATAAAGCAGTTGAAGTGTAAATAATAAAGTGCACTTTCTGATATTACTTTCTGTTCCTACAGCATGCTGCAGATGAGAAACACAATTTCGAGCAACTCTCGGAGTCAACAGTCATTCATCTGCAGCCCCTACTTCAGTGAGTAAGGAGTTTATTTACTTGTTTTACCCTTTTTCTGCATTCCTGGTTTATGCAGAAGTGTTTAATTTACAACAATGTTACAGAAAGCGCTAGGCAGACTAGGCGTTTGAGCGAGCGCCTAGCGCCTAGACCCCTGGGCGTACGCCTAGGCAGCGCCTAGGCGTTTGACTATTTTTAAATTATTTAATTATAATAATTGATAAAAATATGTATTAAATTCATATAAATTTTCAAAAAAAGATAGCAATCTTAATTCCACAATAAATCATGCATACTTAGATACTAAATAGCCAAAATAATAATTAACAAGGCTAGAGCCTAAGATGTTTTCTTTTTTTATTTTTAATTACAATAATTGATAGTGAATGTCAACGTTATAGAAAGCTTAGATGCCGGACTGATGTCTAGGCAGATTTCTTTCTTCATTTAAGTGGTGGTCGATGAGGTTTTGCTGAAGGTCGAAGGAGGTAGTGGATGTGTTCATATTTGGAGGTTAATAGAGTTTGGAGGACGTGTAGGCTACAACACATAAAATCACAACCAAGGCCGGTGCAATCCATGTAAGCAGACAATGTTCCCCTAAACGCTCGTAAAATTTAGATGGGTAGGCTAAATACCGCCTAGGCGTTAGACGCTAGTTAGGCAGCCGAGGTACCGCTTATGTCTAGGCGTACGCCTAAGCGGACTAGACGGAGGTTTTTTAAAACATGGTTTTACAGAGTAGGCAAAATCTAGCATTGTGTCTCATCAACATGGGAATATTTTCAATTATAACTTTCCTGACAGATAATGTGAATCTCCTCCAGTTCCTCTTCTTTTCAGCAAAAAATATATCAACTATGCATTTCAGATCTTTCTTATTTTTTAAGTTTCTGTTGTAGGTTCTTTCATTGTGGCACAGATTCATCAGAATCGCTAGAGCTTCAAAGAAACAAGGCAATATTTACTACATATTGACAATGGGAATAATCATGATAAAATCAATCAAGACTTGTTTACCATGTTAAGCTTTTCTATCTTAGATATCAAGCTCCCGTAATATTATGGAAAACCACTAAGCAGCTTGTTTTTCCTAACCAGGTGCTAAATTTAAGTATCAGGAGCGCTTATAAAGATTCACCAAGCCCAATTATATTGATCAGCAAAAGCAATAGGTTCATACTTATTAGTTTCTGACATTATTTTTGATTTCAACTGTGCCATTTTAACAGCTTTTGTATTGCGCTCTCACAACATTTTTGTAGTTCGTAATTATATGCAAGGTCAGCAATATGATTATTTACGATTGATATCAAAACTGATCTCCATGAACTTTTTCTGCTTCTTATGAAAACAAGAAATCCTGGTGGGCAGCTTTGTGTTAAACTGGCTGTATCTTTTTTTTTTCTTCCTCTCCCTCTTTTTCTCCTCTTCCTTTGAGGGTAAAGCATTTTCTTTATAAAAGGTAAAAAATATTATTGATGTAAGTTAGCCATTCTATATATGAAAATAGGTCTTCAAAATATTTCATTCTTCATAACTGACGATTCTCTTTACCCTTTAAAATAAGAATGAACTTCATAAGTTCCTAGTATGGGGGAATTGTGGCATTTGTTTCGAAACCGCTGTTTATTTTATCCTTTTATCATTTATCATGACGGCTTCGTTTGGGCAATTCATTATGCCAGAGGATCGTTGGTCATGACAGAGGGTAGGTTTGTGGTGTCTATAGCCGCCCATAGATTATAAATTTCAAGCTTATAATATGCTATCACTAGTGCTAGCAAGCCTAGCATCATGGATGTTTGACATTTTTATTTATAGATTTTGGCATTTTCAGTTTTAACTCAGTTGTCTGATAATTTCATTTCTTTCCCTGTGCAATTCTAGTTTGTTACACTGATATTAACTCTATGACATCTGAATGGCTTCAGGCCAATAAGGTTGGAGCTATCACCAGAAGAGGAAATAGTAGCTTCTATGAATATGGAGATAATCAGGTAAGGTTTTGTATTCTTGTACATGCAAATCAAGTATGGAGGTTATAATTAACTGTTATATCTCTTCAAGTAAATACTTTTATGATTGACTGTCTTGCTTGTGTTGCGGGATATGAGTTCTATGGCCTCTTGTGAGTTATGTTTTTCTTTGTACAAGTTTTATTTCACCATAATTTAAAATTTTGAGTTTGCCTCTGATTGCATAAGCATAAACATAGATTCTCCCCCCTTAGTACAAGTTTTATTTCACCGCAATTCAAAAGTTTGTAAGTTTACACTCATTCAGTTTGTGGGACACGCTCTCTTTCTTATTCATCTTTAATACTTGAAAATTTCTAGTCAAAGCTGTAGAGGTTGGCATTCATGATGTTGCAGTATTTACTATGAGACAAGTAAACTGTACTCGTGTTTAAATAGCTTTTCCAGTCATATGAAACGAGTAGTTGCTTATGTTCCGCTCAATGCGCATGACAATATTCCTTAGCACATGAACTTAGAGAGTTTCAAGTTTAGCTCTTCCTAGGATATATGATGTATTTCTTATTTCATAAGGAAACATCATTTTAACTTCTGAATAGCAGTCAATTTTATTCACTTCTCCAGCCAGCTTACCCTCTGCCACTTGCCTAGAGTATGAATCTGCGGTTGGGACAAAGAATGATCCTCCAAAAAGAGTGATTGAAACCTAACAAGTGAGTGAGGAGCAAGTTTGGCTCGTGAACTATCCGTAAGGATGGACTAAACCCATCCTCATGTATGGAGGAAAGACCAATCCTGTGGATACTGATACATACTACTCAACATAGTCCAAATTTTTTTGGCCGGACTGTCATTCTCAGGAAATACCTGATTTTTTCAGGTCAGGCTTAGACAGTGCTAGGTCATTACATTATGTCCTTTATAGCTTACCCGTTATCTTAAGATGTATGCTTATATTTAATTTACACAAAATACACATTTCCTATTGGATAATGCTTTTTTTGTTTTTGTTTTTTTGTTTTTTAGAATGTTTTGCTTTCAATTTTCCTTATGTTTTATTCGCTTTTCGATATGTGTTAGGAAAAATGGTTTTGCATTGAAGGAGGACATGGATGCCCCTCCTGGCCAACGTTTTCTGCTAAAAGCTGTACCATTCAGTAAAAACATAACATTTGGGATTGAAGGTAATACTGCTGTTGGAATATATTTGTAATGACCTGATTTTATTGAGAAATTACTAATTATATAGGAATTCAGTATCAAGCCATCCTTTTTTCTTCACAGATTTGAAGGACCTTATTTCTACCCTTGCTGATAGTCAAGGGGAGTGCTCAATTATTGGTAGTTACAGGGCAGACACTTATGATTCAATTTGTCCATCAAGGGTCCGTGCTATGCTAGCTTCCCGTGCATGCCGAACATCTGTTATGATTGGTGATGCTCTTACACAAAATGAAATGCAAAACGTAAGTACTAAATTTTATGTCACCCCAGACTATTTGTTCATTATTCTTTTAATAACAGTGGAAGCTTCAATATGGTTGTTGATTATAGGCATTTTGGTCTCAATTGTTTCATTTACAGCTTTCGTACACATAATATGAAGTATGATGGTTATATAACTTCAACAAATTTCTTTCTAATTTTCATAGTTTAGCATGTTAAAAGAATTTTTGCTCTAGCTTGCAAGGCTCTGCACAACAAGGCTGTTGGTCCACCTCATGGGCATATGGGCCACCTCATGGGCATATGGGCCAGCAAGAAAAAAGTGTCACATGAGCCAGCAAACCAAAGAAAAAAGGTTAGAGGGTGGCTACTTTCGGCTGGAAAGCTGCCGACGGAAGAAATATTTCTTTGTGTGGGACCCATATTTGACAAAAAATAGTGTAATTCATGGCGTGAATTACGGAGAGAGGAGGTTAATCTCCTCTATAAATTGAAGATCCCCTCATTCAGTTTGATCATCGAAAATTAAGAAGAAAACAAAAGTGTATCAGCCTCAGAAACATAGTCTTTCTGAGAAGAAAAATTAAGAGCCAGTTTGTGAAGTTTTATCCACAAATTGAAGTTGTATTCTTGTGAGAGATCCACCTAAGGGTGAAGTGTGTAATCCCATTATTATAGTGAAAGTTTTTAAGTGGCCTACAGGTCCCGTGATTTTTACTTCTTTTTGGAGGGTTTTTCATGCTAAAAACCCCTGGTGTTATTTTTGTCTCATTTAGTTGGGGAAATTATCCTGGGATTTCTCAATCTTTCCCAACAAAGTGGTATCAGAGCAAGGCAGGCTCAGGAGGCAAGAGAAGGAGATCATATACATATTATACCACACTGGTATATACGTATATACGGTAACTATTCATATATACATCACTATTCACGCCAGAGCACTATTCATCACCGGAGCACTATTCATCACCGGAGCACTATTCATCACCGGAGCACTATTCATCGTCTGAGCACTATTCATCACCGGAGCACTATTCACGGTACTGTTCACGGGTACTGTTCAAGCTTGGCAAAACCTGTTGGCTAGCAAATTTAAATGGAGGAGAACACCAACACCGATAATATGATCAAATTGACTGCATTTAATTAGCAATTTGGAAGCTGAAGATGGAGGATCTTTTGTACATTAAAGATCTCTGGAAGTCAATTGTAATGCCAAAGGAGAAAACAGTGACTACAACGGGCGACAAAACAACTAGCACCCCGGAGGTCACATCCGATGCTGACTGGGTCGTGCTAAACCGAAAGTGTGCTGCTCAAATCAGGCAATGGATCGACAAAAGCATTTTTTAGAATTTTGCTAATGAACACGATGCTCTCGTTCTTTGGTAAAAATTAGAGAAAATGTATGCAAGGACAACCGCACAGAATAAAGCTAATTTGATGCGACGATTAGTCAATTTGAAGTACAAAGACGGGAGCAGCGTATCGGAACGCATGAGCGAGTTCCAAGGCATCGTCGATCAGCTCAACTCTATGAAGATGACCGTAGACGATGAGTTACAAGCATTGTTGATGCTGAGTTCCCTACCAAAAGGTTGGGACACTTTAGTTGTGTCAGTTAGTAACTCCGCTCCTGATGGACAGCTTACCATGGATATGGTAAAAGACAGAATGCTGAACGAAGAGTCTCGACGAAAAGAAGATGGATATGCTCCTGAAAATGAAGCGCTTGTTACAGAAAGACAAGGCAAGCAAGAATGGAGAGGAAGAAGCAAAAATCTCCGTAACCAAAATCAACAAAGAGGATGGTCGAAGTCCAGATCGAGGCATGACAAGAAGTGTCATCATTACGGCAAGCCAGGACACTTCATTCGAGAATGTCGAAAATTAAAGGCGGAAAAATCCAGAAATTAAGAGTCAGAAACCCGAACAAATGACACTGCAACTGTCATCGAAGAAGTTGTCATTGTTCGAGATGCTGATTATGTCAATCTTGCATGTCAAGATTCCACATGGGTAGTTGACTCAGGTGCTTCCTACCATGTCACCTCACGATGGGATTTCTTCTCAACCTACACTCAAGGTGATTTCGGACAAGTGAGGATGGGAAATGATAATGCATCCAAAATTATCGGCATCGGTAAGATTTATTTAGAAACTAACCTTGGATGCAGGTTACTTTTGAAAGACGTGAGGCATGTTCCTGATATCCGCCTCAATTTGATCTCCACCGGAATGCTTGATGACGATGGCTACAGTAATTATTTCGGTGAAGGAAAATGGAAGCTTATCAAAGGCAACTTGATAGTAGCCAAAGGCAACTTAGTAGTAGCCAAAGACAACTTGGTAGTAGCCAAAGGCAAGAAAGATACAACACTTTACCAAACAGAAGGCAGGCTGTGTAGAGGAGAAGTAAATACCACCCGGAAAGAAGTTCCCACCGAGTTATGGCATAAACGGCTCGGCCACATGAGTGAAAAGGGTCTCAGAATTCTTTCCAAGAAGGAGCTCTTGCCAGGAATGAAAGGTACACCCTTGCGTACTTGTGTTGATTGTATTATGGGAAAACAACACAGAGTTGCATTTCGTAGTTCTCCACCATCTAGAAAGGCAAATATTCTAGATTTAATACACACAGATGTCTGCACAATGAGTCATAAGTCACTAGGAGGTGCTTCTTATTTTGTGACCTTTATTGATGACCACTCTAGAAAAGTGTGGGCCTTTGCTTTGAAAACTAAAGATCAAGTGCAGGAAATCTTTAAGGAATTTCATGTAAAAGTTGAAATAGAAACTGGCAGACGTTTGAAGTGTGTACGTGCAGACAATGGTGACGAGTATTGCGGACCATTCGAGAAGTACTGCAGAAGTTTCGGCATCAGGTTGGAAAAATCGGTACCAAAGACACCTCAACACAACGGTGTAGCAGAAAGGATGAACATGATCATTTGCGAAAGAATCGGATGTATGCTCTCAAATGCAAAATTACCAAACTCCTTTTGGGGGGAGGCAACGAGGACGGCAGTCGATTTAATCAACCTTTCTCCATCAGTTCCACTGGACTACGACGTACCAGAAAAAGTCTGGACGGGGAAAGATGTTTCTTACAAACACTTGAAAGTATTTGGCTGCAAGGCATTTGTTCACATCCCAAAAAACGAGAGGTCCAAGCTGGATGAAAAGCTAAGCAATGTATCTTTTTGGGATATTCCCATGAAGAGTTTGGCTCCAGATTCTGGGATCCTATTAATGTCAGAAGCAGAAACATGATGTTTCTTGAAGATCAGACGCTCGAGGATTTTGAGAAACCCGAGAAGCCACAATCAGATGAACTTCCAGTGAATCTGGAACCAGTCTCTTCACCAACAAATTCTGATGAAGGGGGAGCTACACCAGATACTGATGATGTTCCACCAGCTCGCAGTCCAGAACCAGAGCAAGCTCCTGAACAAGTCCAACCAGAAGCACAGCTAAGGAGATCCACTAGAGAGCGACAGTCAAGTCGTAGATATTCTCCTAACAAGTATGTGATGCTCACTGACGGGGGAGAACCTGAGAGCTATGACGAAGCTATCATTGACCAGCACAAGATTGAGTGGTTAAAAGTCATGCAGGATGAAATAAAATCTTTACATGAGAACCACACATTTGACTTGGTAAAATTACTACAGGGAAGGAAAGCTCTTAAGAACAAGTGGGTGTACAGGATCAAAAGTGAAGAAGGCAGCTCACAACCACGTTACAAAGTAAGACTGGTTGTGGAAGGATTCGAGCAAAAATAGGGCGTTGATTTTGATAAAATATTCTCACCGGTGGTCAAAATGTCTTCAATCCAAGTTGTTCTTGGCTTGACAGCTAGTCTCAATCTAGAAGTTGAACAACTTGATGTAAAAACCGCATTCTTACATGGTGATATTGACGAGGAAATTTACATGGAGCAGCCCGAAGGTTTCCAAGTCGAGGGGAAGGAGAAGATGATATGCAAACTGAAGAAGAGTTTGTACGGTCTGAAACAGGCACCTAGGCAGTGGTACAAAAAGTTCGACTCATTCATGGAGAAAAATGAGTACAATCGAACGACGGCTGATCACTGCGTCTTCATTAAGAAATTCTCTGATGGTGAGTTTATCATTCTTTTGCTTTATGTTAATGACATGTTAATTGTAGGTTAAAACTTCGGCAAAATTAACAAGTTGAAGAAAGAGTTGAGTAAGTCCTTTGCAATGAAGGACTTAGGACCTGCTAAGCAAATTCTTGGCATGGCGATTACTCGCAACAGGCAGAATCAAAGAATTTGGCTATCTCAAGAATAGTATGTTACAAAAGTTCTTGAAATGTTCAACATGAGCAAAGCTAAACCTGTCAGTTCTCCACTAGCAAGCCACTTTAAGCTTAATGTGAGTCAGTGTCCTTCAAGCGAGGAGGAGAAATCAGAGATGAGCACAGTGCCTTATGTAATAGCGGTTGGCAGTCTTATGTACGCTATGGTATGCACCAGACCAGACATTGCTCATGCTGTAGGTATTGTGAGCAGATTCCTATCAAATCCTGGAAAAGAACATTGGACAGCTGTCAAATGGATACTCAGGTATCTCAAAGGTACTTCCAGTCATTGTTTATGTTTTGGTAATGGTAAACCCGTATTAGAAGGTTATACAGATTCTGATATGGCTGGCGACGTGGATACGAGAAAGTCTATATCCGGGTGCCTAATAACATTTGCAGGGGGAGCTGTCTCATGGCAATCACGATTACAAAAGTGTATTGCCTTAAGCACCACAAAAGCAGAGTACATCGCAATCACTGAAGGTTGCAAGAAGATCCTGTGGATGAAGAAGTTCCTACAAGAGTTGGGTCAGAACCAGGAAAATTATATTCTCTATTGCGACAGTCAGAGCGCAATTCATCTCAGCAAGAACTCGACCTTCCACTCAAGGTCCAAACACATCGACGTGAGGTATCATTGTATTCGTGATGTGTTGGAAAATAAACTACTGCAAGTTGAGAAGATTCACACCAATGACAACGGGGTAGATATGATGACGAAGACTCTGCCTGGAGAAAAGCTTGCTATCTGTAGAGAGATTGCTGGTGTAGAAGACCCCTGTCCCACATGAGGTGAAGGGGGAGATTAGAGCATGGATATCTAGACAACTTCAATTTGTGGATAAAACTTCACAAACTGGCTCTCAATTTTTCTTCTCAGAAAGACTCTATGTTTCTGAGGCTGATACACTTTTGTTTTCTTCTTAATTTTCGATGAGCATGGATATCTAGCCACCATTTAACCTTTTTTCTTTGGTTTGCTGACCCATGTGACACCTTTTTCTTACTGGCCCATGTGCCCATGAGGTGGACCAACAAAGGCAAAGGAACCTGACAGAATGTGCAGACTGGTAGAGCATGGATATCTAGACAACAAATATTATCAAGTTATACCTCGCAGATAAGGTGATGTACAACATTACAGACAAAGAGTTTAAGAGAGCTTATGGATAAAATTGAGGATTTATATGATGACATCAAGCTGAAGAAACCTTGAAAGAATGTGCGGCCTGTTTGGCTCCAAAGAACTTATTTTCTCTAGGAGCATTGCAACCAGCAGGATGCTATGTTCAGAAAGAGGCGTGGCAGGGAGGGTTGCAAAGAGGTCCATGGTTTCGGTCAAATGAGAGCAGGAAACAAACTTGTACAAGATGATTGGTAATAAGATGGACATTGTAGTTTCCATTAGTACAATAGAGAAATGGATGGAAAATTCCTAAAAACTTCAGCATGTGTTTGGATTACATGAACTGAATATCTTTTTGAGAATTGAATTGCAATAAGTTGCCTGAGGGAATCAAGTAGCGCGAGTTGGACTTTAAATCTTGCACTATGGAAAGGCATCATAAGGGGGTTCAAACTGAAGGTTGGATGTGTGGAAGAATTGTCCAAAGATGTAACATTTTCATTCTAATGCAGAAATTAGAAATATTTATCGAATTAAGGAGTGGAAAGCAGTCAATAAGAGGCAAACAGGCAGTAGGTGAAATATTTGCGAACTCAGTGGAGGTAATTTTATAAAAGAATTCAGACGATGATTCGCCTGCTTCACCCAAAGAGCCACTGGTGATTTCCTATTCTCCATGACTTCTCTTACACCACAAACTCCCCCGATTCTTCTAATTCTCCCAATTAGCTGTCGGTGATCCCCAAGCCACACAAAAATCTCAGTCAATGGCAACGTCCTCTACTCCTTTTCCAATGTCAACTCTCTGTCAACCTATGTCAACTCTCTGTCAACCTACTTTCTTGAGCTTTCTACCAATCAAGAGTGTTTCTAACCATATTCAGGCCCATTTTACATCCAATGGCAGTGTTTTCAAAGGCGCACACCTCACTGCGCCTTGCAATGCGGGGCGGTGGCGGAGCGTTCCGCATCTGATGCAGTAGCGCCTTTTGCTTCTCGCATATATCCTGACTTTGCACAGTGTGCATGTAGTACATACTCATATAGTTTTGTTTGTTAACATTTCAATCGAGTCTTTATACTCGATAATCCATATCCCAAAAAGCAAAATAAATCCATTAGGCCTTTTTAGTGGTCTTCAAGTGAGGACCATAACTAATCATTTGCTTGGATATTAGTCTTGATTTGACATTTGATTTGAGAATTTATGAAATTTGCTACTATGTTGCGTGTTAGCATTAGAAAATGAGACCTTATACTGTGATTTTATAGTAAGATATTATTTATCCTGACATATTTTTTATGTGAATTCCTAAACATGTTCATTCGTGCTTGATTATATATCTTGAAAAATTATGTGTGCAGCGTGCTCCTTGCATCACTCGGGCGCGCGCATCGCGTTGCGCCTTGTGCATGTGTGCGTGAAGATGCTTTGCGCCCCGCATTGTGGCTCGCGCATTGACAACACTGTCCAATGGTTATGAAATTTCTCCCTGCAATGTTCATACTTTAACTATCATCAGTAGTTAGACCAGAAGAACCTCTCACATAAGAAAAAGAAAAAGGAATTTTAAGAATACATGACCAATACCATGTTCTTTAATTGTGTAAACTGTGAAGCTTGTTATGTAGCACGTGTACCGAGTTTTTCATATACTGCTACTGGCTGTTGATCTTAGATGTAACCATTGCAGAGTGGGACATCTGATGTTACTACTTTTAAGCCATCAGTTAACTACAAATATAAAATGGCCCATATAATATTTTTTACTATTTATTATATGTTTATTTGAGAGATTTAGGCACTTATAAGAGTTATGCAAGACCTTTTGTCTATGCAGATATTGCATAATCTGGCAGGACTCAAATCTCCTTGGAATTGTCCCCACGGTAGGCCGACAATGCGCCACTTGGTGGATTTGAGCACTTTCCAGAATGGAAGGTTAGATTATACTAATCAAATGAAGTTTTAATTTGTCTCTTCCATAGTATTCTTTCTTTTTATTGGAGAAGTCAAAAGCAAACATGTGATCTCAAAGATGCATGTGTATTTGTCAAGCACGGGGAAATAGTCAGATATATAATCGCATAGTAGCTGATAACTGATATCCAGGGTTATTTTAATGAACGTATTTCCTTTGCCTTAGTAATTGTGGACTTTTTGTTAAATCTTTAAGGTTCCAAGGCTGCAGAGACTAAGAATACTCTGCTTGCGAACGGACAATCTTCTCAGCTCTAACTGCAGAACCTTGGTTGTTATGGTCCTTAGTGAAGTGTACTGATTTCCTTGGCATATATTACTCAAACTCATTTGATGAGTGTTTCTGAATCATCCTATGCCCATGGACAATTGCTACTCTGGGTTGAAAAAAGACCCTGCAAAGATGAACATCCGATACAGATCCTTCTGACGTAAACTTTTCCCTATTTGTTTTTCTTCGGTTATTCATCTTGTTTGATGAATTTAGATTGATTAACCTCAAAATCTGGTGCATTCCATGCCAGAAGCATCTAATTGCCCTTTTCTGCCCTAAGATGGACAGAGTGCTAGCAGCCTGAGAATAAATTGAATTATGACATCCATTGTGTTGGTAGATCTCAATATAATCTGAGGGATAGAAAAGTTCATGAGCTGCCAGTTCCTCCGTTTGAGGTTTTTTTATGGGTCTGGCAAGTATCTGCTAGAAACTTTTGTAAGCTCGCTAGACTACTGAATTCAACAGAGATTCATCAAAAAACAACTCCTTGTTAGTACCACTGTCACTAAAATCTTGGCCCTCTTTTTCTCGATATATTCAAGATCCGTTTAGTGATCCTGAAGAGCTTCCTACATCCACCTTCTAGTTGTGGTGCTTTCCATTCAAATATGATTGTGACCCCAGATTCTGTAACTAACATATAAGTGGTTATATTTAAAAAAAAAATAGGGAGCTTTGGATAAAATCAGAGGACTTCATTTTAGAGGGAAAATTTCCCTACCAATGAGCTTTAGACTACCATCTCCACTTGGTTATGCGTGTGCATTTTTTGTTCTGTCCCGATTTAGAGACTCATTTTCTTGAGTTCGGCATGTGGTCATGCAATTTATGCACGAACCGCCATCTATTAAGATTTATGTTCTTAACCGTTCAAAACCAACCAGATGTGCGTCGATAGGCAATTATCTGTAACCTTATATTCCTAAATTTAATCAAATATCCTGACAAGCATCCTCATCAAACCATCTGAAACATCGCAATCCTGTAAAATATATTTTCTGTTCGGTGGTTCCAGAATCTATTACCCGTGTTTGTGCGACTTCAAATGCTTTAGGCCACTTGAATAGGTATCCACATGAACAGGTTATTTTTGGTCCGCGAGATTATCCTCTAATTAATGCTCAGTGACATATTGATCTTTCTTTATTTCTTCGCAGGTTAAGGATGGAGTAATCTTCAGTGTTCGTAATGGTAATTTACCTTCTTGGACGTCTTGTAACCTGCTTGATTTTGTAGACTTGAAATGAAAATATTCATGCAGTAGCAATGTTGCACGCCAAACCATAGGAAGGGCAAATTCTTGTATATTGGCCTGGTTAGTTTATCCAGGCTGCAGGCAGCTATACTCCAATTTTGTGGTGGAATGTTCAAAAATTACATTAAGTTATGAGTATGTTTGGTTTAAAATACAGCCTTGTGGAAGCTGTGTATACTTTTGAGTAAATTTCTCAAGACCATCACCAGCAAAGGTGCCGTTTGGCAATAGGTTGAACGAGGGATTAAGGAGGCTTGACCCTTCCTAACCCTCCGAACATAGAAGTTTTATACAATAGTTAAAATGAGTTAATCCTCCATAATTTGTAAGACGTAAAAAAATACGTTAGGGGCGGTAAACGATCGAATCGAATACTAAGATGTTTGTATTTGTATTTACTTAAAATTATTGAATTCCAATGCGGACTCAAATATTCATATGTGGAGTTTTTTTCGAATTTGAACGCGAATACTTGGTATTTGATAAATATTCACGAATATGTACGAATATTTATCGAATATCAAGTATATTTATTCTGTTGAAAAATTTGATTTTCAACTAGTATTTAAATTCATAAATAAAAATATTCATTTATAATATATATATATATATATATATATATATATAATATATAATATATAATATATATATATATATATATATATATATATATATATGAGAAATATGGGTAAGCTTGGTACCAAGCACAAAAAGTTATGCTTGGTAATGAGGTGTCAAATCCTACTCCACTCATTCAAATGTGGGAACAAATTCACGATGGGTAGTGAGTGGATGAGGATGTGACACATCACTACAAGCACAAAATTTATGCTTGGTACCAAAACATACCCATATTTCTCTCTCTCTCTCTCTCTCCTCTCGTTCTCTCTCTCTCTCTATATATATATATATATATATATATATATATATATATATATATACTATAATATATATATATATATAAAATTTAAAAAATTTATTAATAGATTTAAGATTATTTAAGTTTTAAAATTAGTATATAAAACTTGAGTAGAAATGATAAGTGGGTTAAAAATATGACATTATATGTGCAATAATACAAATAATAAGTGATCAAATTTTAAACGAATATTTGATAGACGAACGAATCGAATATACATCCGGTTAAATTCTATTCATTAGTAAATTCGAATACTAATAAACATTTGTTTATTGCCTTTTTGCTGATGTTTATGATTTCTTTTACGAAACCCCTAGTTCACGAGAATTTTGTAAATTTTACCTTTATTTTTGTTCGAGCCCCGTTGGTTTAGTAAGTTTTAGATCTAGCGACAAGTTTTCCTAGATGAAAGCAAATGTTATTATTGATTTTTTTAAAACATAGGAGAATGTACAAAACCTTATGATTTTTTTTTCCTTTTATTATTGATGGCTTGATGGCCAAATCTTACCATATTGCACTTTTGTCTTCATGCTATGGTTGCATGCTAACTAGCCACCAACATTAATTCTACTAGGCTAAATATCATAAAAACACCGCTAACTTTGGATGATTAATAGAAAACCCTCTTAACTTTTAAAACTTTTAAAATACTAGAAAACCCCATTAAGTTTAGGGGTTATCAGAAAACTCCTTTTTAACTTTGAGATTTTATAAAAAAAAAAACTCTAATTTTTAGGGGGTTTTTAAATAAAATCTCAAAGTTAAAAAAGGTTTTCTGATAAAATCTAAAACTTAAAGAGGGGTTTTGTGGTAACCCCTATACTTAAGTGATGATTTTCTGATAATCACTCTTTTCTTTTGTTTTCTTTTGGGGGCGGGGACTTCTAGGAATTGTGTTTACCCATTTTACTAATGCTGCTGACATGAAATATTAAGGGTGCATTCAGTTTAGTTATGGCTCGGATATGATGTTTATCATATTCATATTCGCTTACTCATTTTGAATACAGATACAGATACAAATACGGATATATTACGGTAAGGAAAATTCATATCCATATCCGCTAAAATCGGATACGGTTGCGGATATATAAGCAGATATGCATGCAAATACAAAACGGATATGAGAAAACTAGATATTATTGAGAAAAACATAATTCATGCGATACAAAAGACGTGGTTAATATGTTCATTGTAACTGAAACGGTAAGATTAGACATTTTGATTAACAAAATTAACCACAAATTCATAATTTAAGAATCCAAACTATCGTAAGAGTATGACTAATATGTATTCGGATATTTCGGATACGGATATGGATATTTTGCTATAAAACCGTATTCGTAATCATATTTTATCGATTATAGATTTAAGTAACCATATTTGTATCTTAATGTATATCTTAACGGATACGGTTACAGATATTTTCTCGGACACGGATATGATTTAGCACCCCCATGAAACATGGATTCTCTCCGAAGATTCTCACGGTTACCTGACTTCACAGATATAAATGTCCCTAGCATTTGGATTCTCTCTGGAGATTCTCTCTGAAGATTCTCACAGTTATCTGACTTCACATATATAAATGTCCCTAGCATTTGTTTGATTGTTGGCAGGCATTTCGATTAACGTGCTTACAAATTTTTTATTTCTCACGAGCCTCGCGCTATAAATAAATTAACCACCTCTCGTACTTAAATGCACATGCATGTACATGGTATAATGATTTGGTAGGACATTAGTCACTGCTGTTAGTTGGAATCATCAATGTAGCTCTGATTTTTTTTTTTTAGAGAGAAAGTGAGTTTAGATCCTTTGAAAGATCTAAGAGAAAGGTGTATTTGCGTCTGAAAACAAATTGAGCTCGGCGACGAGCACAGGTATTTTCAGATCTCCTAATATGTCGAACATATATAACCTCGAAATCTTTGAACAGTTGCCTCACCAACCAACTGATTCAAGGCTCGGGGGATATGCACAACACCATGAAGCATATGAACAAGGCCTAAAGAATCGCATTCAACATGAGTTCTCCTCTAGCTAGCCACTTGATTTTTTGCAATTTGGAGAGCTTTGAGGATTGCCTTCGCTTCACCGGCAAGTGTCGGTAGTCGGAGGGCTAAACTCACGGAAAGATAATAGGTTACGACCTAAACAATAGCGGAGGCATCAGGACGGATATATGGCAACATCAGAATTTATCTTTTAATCATATCATCCGATCGATATCTGTCATCTTGGGAGTGTGTTGTTATAGTAACATGGTGTCACATCTGATAATTATTAATATAGTTTCTGCTACATATGGTGTTGATGCCCACAGAAAGAACTCTAGTTGCAAGACCTGACACTTGAGCTCCATTAATCTATGGACCAATGCTAATTAAGTGTACTATATTTTTAATACTATTTTAGCACTGATGTTCACAAAAGACTGGGTCATGCCTCGATCACTTGAAAATTATAGTGATGACTCTGATCATAGCCCCACTCTTTTGTGAGTAGTAGTGCCAAAATAGTAGAGAAAAAAATATATATTACGCTTATCACTACTCTTAATCTATTGCGGTGACTCCATGTATTATGTCATATATTTTATTTCGGCAATCTGTCTTTTCATATATTTTGACATCTCACCCATTTTGCTTCTAGAAAAATTACCCAATGACCCAAAATATGGGACCAACATGGAGGACAGGTGATGGTGTCCCCCTACTATTGCATAATGAGTTGGCCTGTTGGTCATCATTAATGATGGTCAACTCATTATGCAATAGGAGGGGGACGTCTCACCTGCCCCCCATGTTGGTCCTACCGGTAGCAAAACTCATGGTTCTAAAAGCTAGTCTTAACTTCCATCGCCATGAAAATATCATAACGGTTTGGGCATTTGATAAGGTATAGATTTTTGTTATCATTTGGGAGGAAAAGGTTACAAGAATTTCTATTATTGGCTTATAAATGAAGGGCTTAATTCACTGGAATTAAATCATACATATTCATCAGCCAATCAGTTGCAGGTCAATTTCAACCAGCAAAAAGGGCACAATTCCCATACGCGTGTGCCTTTCATTTTCTCACAACTTTCTTCACTCTCTCTCACATGATTGGTCCCCATATCTTTATGATAGTCTTTTTTTTTTTTCCTTTTTTCTCAGAGAGCCACCTTTAGTGCTATAAATGTGTTTTTAGGCATATGGGCATAATATTTCCACTAATGGAAAGCCTGCAAGGTTTTCCGTTGTCGTTCTGTGTATTTTTCAGGCTACTTTTTTCTTTTAAAAGGCCAATATCTCATCACAAAATTTTCTGTTTGTTTTTTTTTTTATGAGAAAGTGGGATAAATGGAAATCCTAGGATAGGCAAATTTCATTCTCACAAGAATTCGAAGTTCAAGGTAATTCTTCCGCAGTAAATCTGTCATCTTTCTTGTTTTTTTTTTTTTTTTTTTTACATTTCTTTCTAATGCGGAAGACTTTGAAGATCTATAGAGGTTCTTAGAAGCCAAATCTAATCATATCCTTGAAGAAACTTCAGTCAATTGGTGATGAAATTGGTGATGGTCTGATAATATATTAGCACATGGGGTCTGTTACTTCAACTCTCTGTTTGTCTGTTTGATTCTAGACAAAGGAAGAGAACTTTAATGAAGAAATTTTTGTTTTAAACCTAATCCCACTTTTTATTTTAAAAATCGACCGACTCCTTTTTTATTTCCAGGGATCGACCCACTTCTCGGTCACGTCAGCAACGTGGCCGCGAAGCGGATCGGTTTTTTTTTAATCTCGTCGTTAAATAGTCGGGGTTGCCAACCCCGACTAATTTTGCTACTATAAAAATAGTTGGATATATATATATATATATATATATATATATATATTTATTATTAAAGTATGTCGACCTTGTGAGCGCATAAGAATACTCACCATTGTTTGAGAGAGTTTGGCCAGCTTCCACGGAGGTTCTATTCTACAAGGTTACTTGAGTAATATACGTGGAGGTGATTAATATGTGAGTATAGTTTCATATCGGATAAGATAAGAAAGAGTGATGATTTTAGATAAGAGTTTGGATCAATACCTGATATCTATAGCTTTTTTGTTAAAATTGATTCATAACTTCTGTTTAAGGCCCATCAGCTCTACATTGGACCTGATTTCTCCCCCAACAATGGTATCAGGGATAAGGTCATGGTCCAAGTACTTAAAAAAATAGATGATCTTCGATGTGA